AGCGGCTCTTAAGTCTGAATGTGGAATCAACATGGACGTTACTACAAACACGTGTTGGATTAACATTATCAGAGCATGTAAACAACACGACATCTAGTTCACTCTACATGGACAGCAAACTATCCTTTATAACCACATTACACATTACATGTTTGCAAGATATATATATATATATATCTTAAGCTTTGTCGGCTCTTGTGCTAAATAATACGTGTGTTTGTCCAAATTTCTCTTATTTTCTTACTTCTAATAAACTAGATGACGACTACTACTACTACTACAAACGTTACTTCATAGCAGTTTGGGCTACTGTAGAAACATGACGGCATCCATGTAAGAGGACCCGCAGTGTATTTAGATAGAAATTTCTCATTCTAAGATAATAAAAACATAACGATTTATTATGTAAGGTCTTTATACACCACAGAAAACATAGTTATGGATATTATATTGCATTTCTGTCAATGGATCCTCCTAAATATCACACACTGGACCTTTAAGTGGATCAGCGGCCCAGGAAATGAGTTGCCCGCTGTTCCCAGGAAGCAGAAAGGAGCCATTGTAACAGCGAAGAGGAGGAAGAGGATTTTCCTCAGTGAAATTCAAACTATTCAATTACAGATGGAGCAGGAGAATCTGAGTTATGCAGAGAGTCACAAAGAGTGGGAATCAGAGGAGTGGGAGATGTTACACAAATATCAGAGTTGTTGCAAAAAAGGAAAAGTAAGCAGTGCCAACGACCACGGGCGAAGGCTGCAAGAAAATGTAATTTTTTATCCAACAGAAATCCAGAGATATTTTTAATTAGTTTTTACGAAATGCATTTTTCATTTATATGTTATAATACTTTCAGATGTGTATTTTCTTCAGCAGGTGACTCGTGGAAAAGTTTCCTGTTGTATTTTCACACTAAGGCGGGATTTACATGTAGAAACATCTCAGTACGGATTTGATGTGCACTGTTCCTGTGCACAATTAATGCATACAAGGTTTGGCTTTTTGTGTCTGAATTTCTGTTCAGACTCTCACATATAGTCTGTCACACCATCTCTTCAACAGGTGACATTGATTGAGGAGATTTGTTTTGCATTTACTACAAACATTTTCTTTTAACCATGCTCATGATAAAACTTAAACACTGACTAGGCAGGTCAGAACATGGTTGTATTGATATATCTCATTTGCAGTGTTGGTTGAAAGTAACCTGTTGCAAGATTACTGCCATTAAAAAGTAATCGGTTAAGTTTCAACATTACCTACTGAGAAAATAGTACTTTTGTGTTACTAAAAATGAAAACTCCTCAGTGATCCCTGATGCATGTTGGTTATATTGACCAGAGGATGCTTAGTCTTCTGTGCGTCTACCTTTGAATGTCTTGACTCTACCGTCATTGCAAAGCCTCGTCTACGGCCCGTAACCCGTAACTCTGCAGGCGACTAACAAGAATTCCCTTTATGTGATTACAAGTAAAGCATAGATCCTAACAAGTTCATACAACGAGCCCGTTGTCATCTCAGGGCGTCCAATACAAACACTTTCAGAAAAAGCCTCTCTTGTGTTGCTGCAACGTAGCAAACGGGGGCGTTTCATACGGACGCTGAAGGGTACCTTTAGCGTAAAATCCTTACGCTTTGTCACGCTGTCTGAAAGCGACAGTTATGACCCATTGGGATGAGAATGCGTTTATACTCCATATCTTTTTTTACAAATAATTGTAATTAAAAAAGTAGAACTATTTGAAATACAAGAAAGTAAATAGAAACCGGAGGTACCTGACAGTCTTCTGGCTGCTAATGATCAGATAGCGACCTGAGCAGAGGCATATTAGCACAGTTGCCTCTATGAAAACATTAAAACATGATGAGCTCCTATAGCTGATGTTTCCACATGCAACCAGTTAAGAAGATCAGTGCTTAGCAACTGACTTACACGAAGTAAAGGATGTCTGCTATCTTGCCAGATTAACTACTAAAGCCGCTGACTTCCTTTTGGCGTTTTTGCTGTTTTAAGTCCAAAAATCAGCTTGATTATTGCGTAATATTATAATTATTATATTATTAATAATTATATTATTGCCTGCCTTTTTCTGCAGAGCAGGAGAAGTGCCGCTTTGGAACACACTTTTTCTTTTTCGCGGTCTGGTGGCCGACCCATATAGGAGCTATATAGACATCCAGCGTGTCAATTGATGCCTCTCCCCCATCACTGTGGGATGTTACACGCCTGTAAAGCACGGGGTGCTTTTGGTCACAGGTATGTTGATGAATATTCACTGTTTTTATCAATATTCCAATGTTGTTATTTGGAACGTGGTTGTATGGACAGACATAGTGTTTAAAGAAAACTCCAAAATATGGACATTCGCCTGGTATATTTTGAGTTTACTTTCATCAGATTTACAGTTACAATTGCAGTGGAAGTCTATTAGAAGATATTCAGTTGCATTATAATCTCTCTGGTTTTGATGGTTTATTGGATTAAAATTTTGCCTTTTTACCAGGTGAAGATGAAAATATCATATTTTTCTTTATTGCATCTCCATTTAGTCTGTAATGGTAAAATAAATGAGAATTATGCATCTAGGCTAAATGGTTGAGGAGTTATTCCTGATTCATTTTGGGTTTGTTATTTTAGGCGTTTTTCCTGGAAATAGGGGCAAATAGCTGGAAGTTTCCAACAGGATAACTTAATCCCTGAATTTATAGTGTGTCATCCCCAGCACTCGTCATATTTAATGACAAATTATGCCAACCTGTTGTTAGGTTTGAAGCACTTTAGGTAGAAATGTTCTGACACTCACTTCTAGTCATTATCAATATGGAAAATATATGTGAGAAGTTTAATCTGCCTTCACAGCACACCGTTCTGCACCGAGTCTGAGTGACCGATGTGAATCTGCACTTCCTAAATGGTTCCAGTATGAGATCCAGACGTGAAAACCAGTCTGTCACCTGAGACCGCACTCGTTAAAGACACAACAGTACTTCTTTTTGTACGAGCCAACGGGAGCAGCTCCGGGAGTCACATCTGTAATGTGAGTTTATTTTACCATCAGGGGAGTTGGTAACTAAATATCTGAAGGTAAGTGCAGTTGGAAGGACAAAGAGCAACAGTGATGTTATGCAGGTTCAGCAGGCAACTTTACAAAGACATCATCATCATCATGATCAACTCCATCATCGCTGCTTCTGTTGGGCTTGTGTTGGACAAACCCTTTGTTATGGAGAAAAAATCGCCTACACACTCTGTCCTCACAGTCGGGGACTTGGATCTTTCTTCTCTGTGTGATATTCTGCTGACTGCTGCAGGGAAACTTTCTCTTTTCAGTCTGTCCTCGTACACTATGAAATCATAGTTCAAGGGCCGTCCACCGGTCAAATTTGCACAAAATCAGCAATAAGAACATTCTCTGCAAGTGAGTTTCTGGGGAGACTTGTTGGGAGTGTCTCCTTAAAGGAGTAGTTTGAAATTTTATGAAGTATGCTTGTTTGCTTTCTTGCTGAGAACTAGAAGAGAAGAAAGCTCTCATGTCTGTACATTTAAATATGAAGCAACTTAGCTTAGCATAAAGAATGGGATCAGGGGGAAACAGCTAGCCTGGCTAAAGGTAGCATGACTAAATCTATCTTCCAGCCCCTTATTAATAACACTTTGTTAGTTTAATCCATAGACTGTGTAAAAGAAGTGAATGTAGTCACCGTGACGTCACCCACTTTATTTGGACCACTGTTTTGAAGCCTTGAGTTTGGCATTCAAGCTGTAGCCATCAGGCACCTGATGTGGGATGCTAATTTTGGCTTGGGAAAAACAGACTTAGAAAACGTAGAAAAATGAAGAGCCAACTCCTGATGAGCTTTTTCAACAGCGCTGGTTAAATGCACACAGAGCTACGGCTACAAGTCAGCTCTAGCCTGATTGACAAGTCAACCCGTTCTCACTCCCAAGTCGTCACATATGGACGACTGGTCAAGAGCCATAGTCATCAGTTTGTGACGCACTGGGGATCCCTTTACCGTCACAGCTCAACGCAGTGGGGGAAGCCCTGTAGCGTCACTTTTTGGAGGTAAAGGTAGGTATATGATATTTAACAGAAAAGGCTGAATAAGGAGGTGGTTGGGGTGGATGCAGGGCCTTTGAACCAGGAGACCGGGGTTTGTGTCCCGTGTGAAACAAAAAGTAAACATTAAGTATTTGTTTTTATGCAAATTACGTAGTACTTATTTTAACCCAAAGCATGAACTTTTCCTGAACCTAACCAAACTGCAACATTTCACAACTTTAATAACGCGCCGTTTCCAAATGGCAATGTTTCGAAACGCTGGCGTTTTATTTGGAAAGTGTAAAAAGACGTTGCACATTTATTGTTGCTAACTTTACCGGAAGTCAAAAGTTAAAAGGCGACAACAAAAGGGCCTTGACCAAGCGTCAAAATGTGACGAGTCGGGAGTGAGAACGTGTTGACAGGTCACCATGGTAGCGCCATGGTCACACACAAGATGGTCCCACCCTAAAGAAAATGGGAAATAGCGTCATTTTGCCATTATTTCTAATGGAGTCAGACTCTTTTCAACCAGTGGAGTCGCCCCCTGCTGGCTGTTAGAGAGAATGCAGGTTCCGCATTGGCTTCACTTTTCAGACCCGGAGGTTCGTGTTTGTTTAAATCCGAACAAAAAACTATGTCGAAAAACAATATTTCAACCTTTAGGTCAAGTTACTAACTATTTCTTGGCTGGTATCAGTAACCAGGCCAGGTGAACAGTAATTAACAGTAACAGTCATTTTCTAACACCTTCTCTCATCACACTAACTGCAGCCATAAAGTAAGAAAACATAACCCAGACACAGGAAGCTCATTTTCCTTCTCTGCCCTTAACAGAGTTAGATGTCACCTTTTATCATCATGTGAACACCTTTTAACCCATTCTTACATGTACCATTTTTACACTTTTCACACCGTTATCTCTGACATGTGATGCTCAATATAAACAACTTATTCTGTACGTTTTCATGTTGCCATTTAATATCAAAAACAGAAAGTGTAAATAGAGAAACCAACCCTCTTTCCCCCCCTGAAAACTTGCCAATGAATGTGTGTTTGTCCGAGGTTACACTCTCTCCCTGGTCACAGAACTATATCCAAAGAAAGCTGATTTACATTTCAAATATTTTTCGTGCACTTCTCCAAACCGGAGCAAAGACTTTCCTGCTTAAATAAGTAAATTAAAGCACAGTGCAGGTGCTTGTGTGTCTGGTTTATGGTAGCTCTGAAGGCAGAGTTTTTGGTTTCAGTCCCTGGGCAACAACAGAGAGAGTGGAAATAATCACTTTAATTTTAACAAAGAAAAGTCAGTTAGTATGATTTTATTTTTGGGTAAAAGGTGGTTCACAAACAGAAACAGCCACTAAAACAAAGACTCATCACTCTAACAACAGTTATATACATTTAAAACCCTTTCTATTCTTTCTTGTGATTGGTTAGACTCACCACATGTGGCCACCTAAAAGAAAACTACTATGAAGGTAAGTGAAAGTTTAATCAGGAATCTTCATTCTTACTCTCTCTCTTTCGTACTCTTTATTTATAACGGGTCCTTCCTCTGCTGCAGTCTGCTGTCATTTCAGTGTCAGATGATCGTCCACATCCTCTACTGTTTCAGCTTTACCGCCTTCCGCATCCTTCTGGAGGATATTCCTATACTTCGCATGGCGAGACTGCCCCTGTAAACAACAACACCACAACAGTGTTCAAATGGCCAAAACTCTTTACACATTTATAGGGCTGACCCCTAATAGTCGAAGATTCGATGCTTCGATGGGCGGAGCCTGATTCCACTGTCAATCTCACAGTTGAAGCTTCGCAGCGAAACACGGATCACGCCATTTTGGCGATATGGGGGTGCTCAAAGTCTGATTTTACATAGAACTACCTGTTTTCTCCCAATATGTTAATATACAGCCTATTACAATAAACATTTCAACGTTTAATGCTGCACATAAACATGTAAAAAGAATAAAACTTTAAATAAATATTTTTAAAGTGCGTGAATAAATCCAAAATTGTAACCCTAACCCTGGGTCGTCAGTGTGCATGTGTAGGCGTAGTGTGCGTGTGTGTGTAGTGGCAGCAGAGGAACAACTACTGAAGAGACGGAGCTCCAGCTTCACTGGTGTTGTGCCGAGTTGTCCGCACCTCGCGGGACTTTCGGATAATTTATCACTGTTGATGAACCACACAAAGAATATTAGCGCTTCTTAAACAGCCGGCTACTTGAAATAGACCCGCACGACTCTGCACGACACCGGTGAATGGCAGGCGAGAGAGAGAGAGAAAATGGTCAACAATGCCTCAGTTTACCTTCGGCTTGCAATCGCCACGCACAAAAACACATGATTCAGATCAGTCGACTATAGGCAGGACTTGACGATTCCGACTCGACTACATATTTACCTATTATGCACTCTATAACAACTTTTAACAATTCTTTAAGACCTGATTAGTCTCTCCTGTTTAAACTACTCTTTAGTGGAACACACACTGAGCATGTCCTGTAGCATTGCAGAAATTTGTGGTACAAATCAAAAAATCCAATCAGTGCTTTTCAGTTGATGTGATGCTGGGAAGGTAAACAAAGATGTATCCTGATGCACTGACACACATCATATGACAAACACAGAAAAACAACAGAAAATGTCAAAACCAGTCAGTATCTGGTGTAACCACCATTTGCCTCACGCAGTGCAACATATATCCATCACATAGAGTTGATCAGGTGGTTGATTGTGGCCAGTGGCGTGTTGGTTCACTCCTCTTCAATGGCTGTGCGAAGTTGCAGTCAGGTCGAGACCCCGATGAGGACGACGAGCGTGCAGATGAGCTTCCCTGAGACGGTTCCTGACAGAAATTCTTTGGTTATGCAAACCGATTATTGCAGCAGCTGTCTGTGTGGCTGGTCTCAGACGATCTTGGAGGTGAAGCTGCTGGATGTTGAGGTCCTGGGCTGATGTGGTTACACGTGGTCTGCGGATGTACTGCAAAATTCTCTGGAACGTCTTTGGAGACGGCTTATGGTAGAGAAATGAACATTAAGTTCACGGGCAGCAGCTCTGGTGGACATTCCTTCAGTCAGCATGCCAACTGCATGCTCCCACAAAACTTGTGACATCTGTGGCGTTGTGCTGTGTGATGGAACTGCACATTTTCAAGTGGCCTTTTATTGTGACCAGCCTAAGGCCTTTTATTGTGGCCAGCCTAAGGCCTTTTATTGTGGGCAGCCTAAGGCACACCTGTGCAATCCCCATGCTGTCTGATCGGCATCTTGATATGCCACACCTGTGAGGTGTATGGATTATCTCGGCAAAGGAGAAGTGCTCACTTACACAGATTTAGTAAGATTTGTGAACAATATTTGAGAGAAATAGGCCTTTTGTGTACATAGAGATAGTCTTAGATCTTTGAGTTCAGCTCATGATGAATGGGGGCAAAAGTATTAAAAAGAGCTCCACCTTTACCATCTGCAAGATTAAAGTGATGAACACATGCAGCAATAATTCTAATGATGTAATATTATATATATTCTGAAATGAGTCATTCTGCATAATGAATACTTTTACTTTTGGTATTTAAATTAGACGTTAATGCTTCTGTGCTGAGTAAAGTTTTGAATTCAGGACTTTTACTTGCAGCAAAGTTCTTACTTGTAGAAATTCTACACTCTGGTATTGCTACTTTTATTTAATTTAAACATCAGGGTACACTGCTGGTCTTCTCTGTACAACATTTGACTCTAACTCTACAGACCTCGTCCTTTTTGTGTCTCACGCTGGAAGTCAGCGTTGGACATGTTAAATATTTAATCTCATAAAAACCAAACCCAGAGACTTGTTTATCCAGTAAACACAACAAGTCGCTCTGTGTTCAGATTCAGGGGCGACAGACAGACACTACAGAGTTTAAATGGGAGTGAATTTTAAGTTGTGTGTGTAAACCTGGGAAAAGGAAAAGGAAAAGGAAACAGCCTAATGACTAATATTTACTTAATCTGCAGGACAGTTTGATGAATAGTAAAATACATGTTGCACACAAACACACACACACACAAACACACAAACACACACCTTAACACCACACCATCTTTCAAATAGGCCCTCAAAAAGAACCTTTTCAACACTGCAGTCCCCAGTTAATTTCATTCCACGCTCTCCCCTGCTCTTCTTTTTAACCAATTATTTTCATCTGGCCCTTTGTAAAACTCGTTGAATACTAAAATCAAATTTTTTATTAATATTATTATAACAGCATTAGAAAATAGTTTCTATTTTAAACAGTTTTAAGGTGTTGGCAAATGTTATATCATTTGAGTTGTGATTTTTTTTCATTTAAAACTTCTCAGATTATTTAATTTGAATAATTATTAGAGATTAAGAGATATACATCTATCCAGAATCTCACACTCAATTTCGTGAAAAGTCCAAAACATTCTCAGACCAAACTTGTCACATATGGATGCTTGAGCAAGACCGCTTGGTGTCGCCTTTTAACGCTCTGTGTACCCTTTACCATCATTTTTGGACGTATAGGCTTCCACGGTCAAGTTAGCAAGAATCAATATGCAACGTTCAGTCAGACTTTCAAAATGACACTAGTGGTTAACTTTGTGAAATGTAGCAATTTAGTCAGATTGAGGCAACGCATCTACTTAAGTTTAGGCAAACCTCATGGTTTGGGGTTAAAATAACTTATGTACATGACTTAAGTTACATAAGTTAAGTAACGTTAACTAAAAACAACCAATGCAGACTTTTAGTTTCACACAGGAAACAAACACCAGTTTCCTGAGGTAAAGTCTGCTTTCTGGCCCACCCATCCACCACAACCACCTCCTAACTTTTTCTGTTATTTATATACTACAGCTACCTTTAGCGATCATCAACGACGCTACAGGGCGCCCCCCAGAGAACGGGATTTTTGAGCACCAATTTTTTTATGCTTTTCTTGTTTGTTCTTATTCATTATTAATCTAATCCTCTCACGACCCCAGACATTTGTCTTGCGACTCCTTGCAGGGTTCACGACCCACAGGTTGAGTAACACTGTATTAAAAGATCAGTCGTTTTGGGGCTGACATTTAGTGTCTTTAAGACCAGATGTTGAGCGGTCTGGAAAGCACCTGAGCACAAAGACAGTGTTCGCTCTCTGACACTGAGCTTGAAACAGTGTGTTTGTGTGTTTGTGTATTAAGTGTGTTGTGTAGGAGCGACCCAGTGGGATTGAATCAAAGCGTCTGACTCCAGCTGCATCTTTATCTAAATCTGCTTCCTGTTTTCAAACATGTCGACCGCCGGCCAACTGGCTCTCCGACCAGTCTGGAGAATTTCAAAACATGGATTTATGACATGATAAATTCTTCTACTTCTTCCAGTCAAATGGTCTGTGATGGTGAAAAAAACAGAGCTGAGGGGGAAACTCTCTCCCCTTTTTATCAACATAACAACATAACAAATTATAGCAGCGGGGTTTCCCAGACAATGCCCAGGACACCGATGTGGAGCTAGTCTTTGGTTATTTCAATGCATTGTTCTGAACAGTTGAAGGCCTTGTTTTTGAAGAAAAAGCACAACTTTGGAATTAAAAATTATGCAGCAGTGGAAGAAAAAAAAAATTGTGAATGTAATAGAGTCAGGGTTTTTTTTGTGTGTATTTTAAAAATCAGTATTTTTACTTTTTTATCTCATGTATTGTACTGCAGCAGAGAAGAAGCTGCTGGTTTGTCTGCGACTACAGGAGAGCTCCATGTCCAGAAAGGTCTGTTCACCTGTCTGTCTGGAGCTGCTAGTGTGTCTGGCATTTACAGCACAATGCAATACTAAGTACTTTTACTTGAGTAAATTTCTTTAACGTAACATCCATTATATTTGCAGCTGAGAAACACAAAATAGTTTTTTCACATTATATATTATACTTACATTCCACTATACCTGGAATATAAAGACATAAAAGGCATTCAATGAGCTAAAAACAGAGATAACTAGCAAATCCTCCCATTGATGAAGCAAAAAACAGAAGATGTTTTCTCTTGATAAAATACTTAAAATGATTAATCGAGTGTCAAAGTGGTTGTGGATTAATTTTCTTTCATAGAGTAAGCAACTGATTTATCATTTCAGCTCCAAAATACAAACAGGTTGACAGAAAATACACAAACTGCTGTAGCTATAAATGTAATTAAAGTAAATGCAATTAACCTTTAATTGACAATAAAAACACAGTCTGTGTTTGTGTGTTTGTGTGTGTGAGACGCTTACTGACAGAACACAACAGACCACCTTGAGCTAAACACACACACACAGCAGGCTGCAAGTGCCTGTGTTACATTAGAGATGCATATTTCACTCACAGCTGTTAAAACCGTCAGTGCAAACCTGAACATCTGGCTGAGGGGGACGGGGGACACATTTATTGGGCATACATGACTGCATCGCACACCCCCTGGAAACACAGCTGTCAGGTTAATGGTTCCCAGGTGAAGGGTTCCCCCATTTGTTTATCTAGCAAAAGCTTATTGTAAGATTTTGTTGTTATTTCAATAAAAACCTCATCACTGTTTCCAAAGATTAAATTCAATGTAATGGTTTAATAATTTAGTCCAAAGATGTGCAGACGGCATGTGGTTTGTGATGAGAAGGTGAAGAAGAAAAAGTAAACAGGTTTACTCAACATG